TACCTAAGCGCCTGAATTAACCAGACAAACAAACAGAGGTAGAAAATATTTCCAGAATATGGCCCAAATGTGCTCTGACAATTTTAACAACAGACCTATCTGTCTGGAGATTACAAAGCTTGTCTTGGCAACATACTTTTGCCTTTTCCATTGTGATGTGGTGAGCGAAAAAAACAACCCTTGGCGTCATAAACCAGGCAGAAATGCACATCTGTCTTCTCGATGCTGATGACACAAGTATAAGGAACATAATTAATGCAAACTTTCTTTGGTCCGCACAGCAGGGGCACTCTATGCTAGGTTGAATGTGAGAACGTTTTAGCAGCCTGGGGATCCCCAACGCTTAATTGGGGTGCTTGAATAAAACCAACTAAACCTGGTTCTATCCCAATAAATGTCATTCAACAAAAGGAAGTAACTATATTTATCCATAGTCTACCGATTTGTATGTTCTTGTGCAATGGCTGCTTGAGATTGTGTTCTGGATTAAATGCACTCAAGATGCTGAGGAGAAAACACACATGAGCACACCCATACACACCAGGAAACTAAATCAGTGAGCACTCCTCACATTTAAGGAACCAAGTCTCAAGGCTCAGCATACTGCCCAGCCAATGGCTTGGTCCCCTCTACTCCTTCTATGAATTCCCCTACCAGGAATACTGCCTCACTTGAGATTTGGGGTTTTGAGAGAAAAGCAAAATGACAAAGAAAAAAAAAAGCAAGTAGAAACGATGGTCTGGTTTTTCTAACTCAGTGGATGCATCTCAGGAAAGTCTAGTCTGGAACCCAATCAGTTCTGTAGGTTCTACACACCACCTGATAAACCAAATATTCCCCAGTTCTCTAGACAATAATAGACTAAATGGCTGTTAAAAGTACTGAGCATCCAGGCTCACCCCTGTAATTTCAACACTTTGGAAGTCTGAGGTGGGTGGATCACAATGTCAAAAGATTGAGACCATCCTGTCTAACATGGTGAAAGCTCATCTCTACTAAAGATTTAAAAATTATCTGGGCCTGGCGGTGTGGCTACTGGTAAAGCTGAGGCAGGAGAATCACTTGAACCCAAGAGTTGGATGTTGCATTAAGCCAAGATTTCGCTAATGCACTCCACCCTGACAACAGAGCTGAGACTTCATCACACACACACACACACACACACACACACACACACACACACACACACACAAAGTACTGAGTGAAAAAAGGACTAGGTCACAATTCCTCAGTCCTTATCTCTACTATCTCTCTCGGTACCCATTTTCCCTAGAGAAGTGTGACCCTGCCTCCCTCTTCTACCGTCCTCTCCCACCATGCTACAAATACATCCTTGGAGACCCAGTATGGTTAAGTCACCAATAGGCAAAGTGGGAAGACAGAACCAAACCCTGTTCACTGACAAAGATTCTCTCCTTGGCCAATCGTTTGCCAGATTCCTGAGCCCTCTTCTTCACTGAGCTTCACCTGTGGCCTACAAAGATCTGAACACTAAAATGGCTTCTAAAAGATCAAGATTACCCAGTCCCCTCAAAGTGTCTGCCTGAGAAAACTCAAGGCTGCCAAAAGAATTTACTATTTGTTCCAGCCAACATTTGAGGACCGCTCCTCTGTCTGTCTCCCAGTCTCTAATGGGGGGGTAGGAGCCAAACATTGATAACTGTCAGCTAGCAGCCACTGCTGGCCTCGTGACCAACCCCTTTAGAGCTTTTCACTTGAGCCTTGACACTCTCTCCCTATCCCTCTTTCTCCTTCTGAAAGGACCAGCACTAACTTCTGCATAAATCAAAGTTCAGTGTCCAGTTCTGTTGATGGCTGGGAACTTTCTCTCAATCTGTTCCTTCCTCAAAACAAAGAACTCTTTCCTTACCCATGAATCCAGCAGGGTATGTGATATCCACTCCAACCCTGCCATCAATTTTAATGAAACGTTAATGAAGATGGGCATACATATCTTCTTTACCTCATGTCCAGTCAATGCATATTTGAGTCTATTCCTGAGAAAGACAATCAGAGGAAGACATTCCCTTAGCTTGTGGGGACCTGTTGATGGAACAGGTGCCTGTAGAAGACAAGGAAAGGCAACCTGATCTCTCAAGATCCACTGCTTATGTAACCTGATTGAGCAGATTACTTGCCTTAGTTCAGCATTAGCTGAGGGCAATTAATTCAGCAATTTGAGATGTCTGTGTTATGAAGGTCATACCCCCAAATATGGAAATCCCATTTTGTGCCCCCTTCCTTCTCCAAATGTAGCCTCACAACTATCTTCCCATTTTGCCCTGCCCCAAGCACCATAGCCACTGGTACTGCCTACTTAAACCTTCCTTGAACACACTACATCCCATGTACCTCAGGTGTACTTTATGATTTAGTCACAACTTACTACGTGACATATTCTACTACTCTCTCACCATTCCAGGGTTCTAAGTCCCATGCAAGCCCTGTCAACGATGCTGGACCACCCTGTAACCACCCTGTAACCCCCTGTGCATTATTCCTTTGCTGGCTGCTTGCCAGTTCAAGTGTCATCAAATTCACACTGCAACAAATCCTGTAACCTATAATCTTGAAGTTTTGATGTTACACCATCCTGCCCTGTGGCTATTTGCTCCCTGTATCTACAAACGTCTGAAGGTCTAGGGCTGTTCTTGAACTCCCCACTCTCAATGATTTCTTAAGCTCAGACCACACAGGAATCCTTTCTAATGGAGATTGTTCCCAAAGCTGTTTCTACAGATCTCTCTTTACTTTTGTCCCTCTTAAAATGGACTAACGATTACTAACCACACAAAACCATGGGGATAAGGGTTGGAGCATACAAGACTGAGGACCAAGGTCCTAGCAAGTCTTCAGAATGAGTGCCTTGCTCATCCACTTAACAACAGAGAAAACAGTGGCACATCCAGGGAGTCAGATACTAGGTGGCAGTAGCAAAGGTAGCACTTGGAAGCAGAAACTGACTGGTTCCAAACCCAGGTCCCCAGCCAACACACAGCCCATGTTTGCTCTCAAAATACCAGGACAAGGAAGACAAATTTCTACTACTCAGTATTCAGAGTTCAAACTGTCCCAAGAAGAGTCTATATAAATTATCAAATTAGTTACCAAGCTTCTCCTATATGGATGTGGACCCTCAGGATTGCCCCATCTGCTCAAAAGAATCTTTGGCAACTTAAGCACCTCACTTCTGTCTTCTTCACACTGGCTCCCTCTCTGTCTCAGAAGACCAAGACTTTCTTACCACTCTCACCCAGTGTCACCACACCACCAAAGTGGAAATATGCCAGGAAGGCACTGCCTAGTCTCCTTCTTGTCAGATGCTTGCTTCCTGTGCCTCTGGATATACTGTCCTCATCCTGCCAGGTTTTCAAGGTTCAGTTCAAGAGACTCCAGCATTTCTCACACAATTTCTTGCCCTTGTTTCATAGGCTTCTGTAGCCTTTACTACTAAACTAGTATCTTAGGCTCAAGGTAAAAAGCAGCTATTCTACCCTCTAAAACAAAGGGTAACTTCAAATTAAATGCACTTGGCTATTATTGGTGACTCAGTGCACTGTCATTGAAGTCCTTTCTTATGTACAATTCAGTACATTCATTAATCCCCACCGTTCTGGGCTCAGGAAGTATTGTAAAGGAGACCACCAGGATGTGACATCCTGGTGTTTTGATGTTGTTGGCATTTTTTTTTTTTTTTTGAGACGGAGTTTCGTTCTTGTTACCCAGGCTGGAGTGCAATGGTGCGATCTCGGCTCACTGCAACCTCCGCCTCCTGGGTTCAGGTGATTCTCCTGCCTCAGCCTCCTGAGCAGCTGGGATTACAGGCATGTGCCACCATGCCCAGCTAATTTTTTGTATTTTTAGTAGAGACAGAGTTTCACCATGTTGACCAGGATGGTCTCGATCTCTTGACCTCGTGATCCACCCGCCTCGGCCTCCCAAAGTGCTGGGATTACAGGCGTGAGCCACCACACCCGGCCTTGTTGTTGGCATTTTTAACCCTGTATGTATATAAGAGCACAAGCTATAAGAAACGTGTTTGTGATAAAACATAATTTGAATGAATCACAACACAGTAGCCTAACAGCTCTTTTGAAAATATTAACCCCTCTGCCTAGCATTGTGTCTTGCCTGTAATCCCAGAATTTTGGGAGGGCGAGGCAGGTGGATCACAAGGTCAGGAGATCGAGACCACCCTGGCTAACATGACGAAACCCTGTCTGTACTAAAAACACAAAAATTAGCTGGCATGGTGGTGGTGCATGTCTGTAATCCCAGCTACTAGGGAGGCTGAGGCAGGAGAATCACCTCAACTCAGGAAGCAGAGGTTGCCGGTGAACCAAGATCGGGCCACTGAACTCCAGGCTGGCAACAGAGCAAGATTTTGTCTAAGAAAATAAATTAAATTAATTAATGAAATTAAAATTAAAATGAACCCTGAACATTTCCAACAGTCCATTCCCTTACATCTTTCTTATCTTCTGGAGGAGGCTTTGTCATTTCACCCTCTTCAAAACTAGCCACTCCAATACCCAATTCCCCGTTCCAATGGCCCTACTCTTTTTACCCCCAGCCTTTAGCACCTGTGAGCATACTGTAAACTTCCCTCTCCTCCTTCAATAGGAGAGAGGGATTAGATTTTGTTGCCTATAACCACTTTTTATCGGGACATATCCCCACGAGTGGGCCCGTATAACAACACCTGTGCGTATTATGCTCTCATTAATTAATAAAAATGGCATGCCCAAGTTCTCGGCGACATTATAGATTACACCAGTGCTCAACGTTGAGGGAGAAGCGCCCTTCTACCCGTAGTTTCCAAACAGCATGTTATAACTTTTTTTTCAAGTTCCTTTTCAGAAGAGTGCAAGGTCAAGTTCCGTGTGCAGCATGTCTTCACCAATGAAAATCCCACAAGCAAACAGTGCTCCCACGAAATACCAAGTCACAGATATACAAGCATGTACTCTTGACTTCAAAGAACATAAAGTCATACTCACAAATACACCCATTAGTTTATCGTGCATCCAGTGCTTCGGCGTTGCAACACGCCTCAAGTGCTTCCTGGGGCTCCGGGCCTGAAAAGGGCACCAAAATTTTTCCCAGTTGACAGTAAAATGTCCTAATCCTCATCTGTAAGAACTGCTAATCTTCATCTGTAATTCCTGATCCAAGGAAAATGATCGTCCAGACTATTTACTCACGCCCAGTTTTGAGGAAATACTACTACCTGCCAGATCCCAGAACAGACACCGGCAAAATTCACAGACCTTTGAAAACGTCGCGGGTGTCCCTAGCTTTCGTCAAGAGAGCATCCACAGTGCTCTCAAAACGAATCTGAGACAGCTTCAAGATGCAGAAATAAGCTTATCTGGATAAAAAACCAGTACTGGGCTGCGTAGTCAAGGAAGTACACAACGCGCCAGCTCCAATGACCCCCTAGCTGAGCACAACGAGGGCCAGCCCAGAATCCCCTAGTGACACTCTTAGACTTCTGCTCTACTAATCGGGTTTCCTAAAGCCAGCACTAGCAGTATTCCCACCTGTCAAGTTAGGAGTGCCCAGAAAGAGAAAGAAAAGGAGAGAGGCATATACCTCCGAAGCCAGGACGCAGCCATATTATCGTGCGAAACCCTGCGTCGGAAGAGATCCTCTCCTTTTCCAGTGCACCCGTATGCTGTGGTCATAACTCGCGGGAAGTAGGTAGAGGGAGAACTTTAGTTCCGGATTCCGCCTCTAGTAAGTAATCAGGTGTTATTCTTCTGATGCAGAGGTCACAGCACGGAACTGAATTTTTTAAATACTGATTCACAGGTGTCAGTTATGCCGCGGAACTTGTTTTGTGCTTCCTCCTTTCCGGTCGACTGAGCTGGAAGGATGCAATTTACACTCTTAAAATTATCTTTTGCCGACTTTCAAAATATTTAACGGAAGTTCTGAAGGAACACGATTTAGGAGCAAGGAAAAAGCCAGTGTTAAGAAATAGCCATGTGATTCCTTGTGACTGTTACATGCTGTGATTGTAAAATCATAATTTAAGAAACAAATTATTCGTTGTTCTGGATTGGAATCATCACAAGTTTGGGAATGTGCTAAAATCCTCTGTATTGTAAATTTTGAAAGGGTACGTTTTATGGCACATGAATTGTAAGTTGAATACCTTGTTTTGAAATAGCTTCTGGTGATGGTTGCACAGATATGTGCATTTCGTAAAACCTCCAAAACAGCTCACTTTTAAGCGGGTGAATTCGGCCACGTAAGTTGTGACGTGTGTGCGCGCGTGTGTGTGATGTCACAGCTTTATTGAGGTGGAATATCTGTATAAAATACAGCAAGCCAAATGAAGCTTCACTTCCTTAATGTGTACAGTTTGACAAGTTTGCTTATGGGAGTAAACTCAGGGTACCTCAATCACAATCAAAATAATAAATATGCATCACCTCAGAAAAATTTCCTTGTGTTCTTTTCTGGGCCTTTCTTCTCCTTTTTCTTTTCTTTCTGTACTTGCGCTTTTTGATGAAGCAAGCTCTGGCTCTGTTACCCTGGCTGGAGGGCAGGAGCGCCATCCAGCAGTCTCCACTTCCCCGGGGCTTGAGTGAGTCCCCCTAGGTGCGGTGGTTCCCTCAGCTTCCCTCAGTGCTGGAACCACAGGCACCTCTCACCACTTTCTTTTTAACTGTTTGATAGAACATACATAGTAAGGTCCACTGTCTTTACTATTTGTAAACGAAAAGAGGCGTCTGAAGCATTTTCTTATTATAGTTTTGCATTCAATTCCTTGACTGGAGGCTACAGGTGGTGTATGTGCCAACTGGCAATACAATAGGCTGAACAGATCTGAACTCCACATTTTTTGCACTATACCAGTATTCGTCTCTTCTGTTCTGAGATTCCTAGATCCATTTTGCCAATTCTCAGATCCTGTTGCTGATATTGTGGTAGGAGTTGCTAAGAAATAATTTTACGTGGGGCACAGTGGCATAGGCCTGTAATCTCAGTACTTTGGGGGGCCAAAGTGGGTGGATTACAAGATCAGGAGTTCAAGACCAGCCTGACTAAAACCCCATCTCTACTAAAAACACAAAAAAGAAAAAAATAGCTGAGTGTGGAGGTTGCACACCTATAATCCCAATTACTCAGGAGACTGACACTGGAGAATTGCTTGAACCTGGAGGTGGAGGCTGCAGTGAGCCAAGATCATGCCAATGTACTCTAACCAGGGGATGGAGAAAGACTCCATCCCCACCCCCACCCCCCAAAAAGGCACATAGAGAAGAAAAGTTTGTTTATTTTAAAGCTGCTCCAGACATGCTTCTTTCTAGAAGGAAAGTCTGGGCTCTTAGAGCTGAGCTGGCAACCTTTGATATGCAATGCAGGCCATTAGAAACTGGGTTCACCAAAACATGGATCTTACCCTTGCCCCACATGTTCCTGGCAACATGGCCGCCCCCATGTATCTCCAGTCTGTAGAAGATAGGCCCCTGCATTTCCACACTAAAAGGCTAGGGTGGAAGGCCCAGCTTTATTACCAGCTATATGAATTACATACCTGTTCAAACCAATCCCTTATGACCTATGCAAATCAGACACCATCTCCTCCAGCCTCTACATATGCCTCACTGGTTTTCTCCCAACTTGGAGTTCCCTTTCTTAGCATTGGAGCTGCAAGGTTCTTTGAACTGACTGCATCATGACCTGTACCATAGTCAAGCCATGGTGACCCCTGTGACCCACAAGTACACCTCCACATAGCCTCCCAGAGCCAGAACGTCTGGAGTAACAGAAAAACCACAAAAGGAGAATGGCTACCTCCTCCAGTGCCTGATTAACCAAACTTGTGACATTCTACTGCTGTTCCTGCCTTAGCTGATGGGTCAACCTTGTCACATTGGACCCTGTGACACACACCCCCTACCAGCTTGCAAAAAACTGCCATAAACTGTAATTTTCCATTACTTATCCCCAGCCTATAAAACCAGCTCCTAACCCAGCACCCTCTGCTCTCTTCTCAGACTCAGCATGCTCACCCCTGAGTGACTAAACAGCCTTGTCAAAGCCTGTTAAGGTGGTCTCTTCATTCAGAGCACACCTAAAAGGAGACTACCTCCCTCTATACAAGGTCGTGTTGTTAAGTGCTGAAGATCACTCTGTCTCTGTACAGGGGAGTGTTGTTAAGCACTGAAGACTGGTCAGAAGGAGGCATCCCATACAGGGTTTGTGTGAGCAACAAGGCTGTATATTAACAAAGGTGTGAGTGGGCTGAGTCCGAAAATGGAGTCAGTGTGGCGGTAAGGGCAGAGCAGGCTTTATAGGCCAGGGCAATGAGTGGAAAGTTACAGTTCAGGGTTGGTTGTTGCTGACTCAGTGGATTGATCAGTCAGCTAAAACAGGAACATGTTGTCCTTCCTCTTTGTAATCTTATTTTTTCAGACTTTCAGGCTCCGCGTAGCCATCAGGAGGTGTACATGCAGGTTACAGAGTTCATAATGGCTTGACAACAGTGCTGCTCCTAATTTCTTGCCTATTAAAATCTCCACTTTTTAAATCCACTCCACATGGATTCTATTGTTTTATCTAATTCAATGTGAAACAAGAGCCCTGGTGTTCCTACACTCATCAGAGCTATATCAATTTCTGTTCCATTCCTGGACAGCCCTAGAAGAACCCTTAGCCTTAATTGGGCTGTGTCCTTCTTTTCGTGGTGGCAGACAACTCACTTTTCTAGTCTTTCCCATCATTTTCCTTTTGTATTGTTCTCTCCCCATGAAAAACCTTTCATTCCAGACAGAACAGGGGAAAATACTGCTTTCTGACTAAAATGGAATTTTTGATTGGATCATTCAGAAGATTCTTAGTCAAGCGCATATGTGAGCATTGGGGAGAGCCCTTATCAGCCAAATTATCCTTATTAAACTCTGATCCCTGAATGCTAGAGGAGACTGATTTGAGTAATAAGACTTCTGCACAGCTGGCTCTGCATGGATTATTCTTTCTTCATCTTGATAAATCAGCTCTGTCTAGGCATGGTGAACCTGTTGGGCAGTTGCAGAGCTGCATCCTTGAGCATGTAGTGGCATCCCAAACCCTGGAGACCTTCTGCTGCCCCATTGGGAGGCAGCCAGGCAGTTTGTTATGAGCTAACCACCTGCCTCCCACATGCTGTTCCTTAACAGTGGCAGCTATGCCTGGCAACAGGCCTCCCACAGCTGCTGCCATACTGTCAGCCAGGACCTCTCCACCACCTCAGTGCCCATTGTGGGTTATGCATGGGTGCATGTTTGAGAGTCAGAAAATCATCACAGTATTGCACTTGCTTTTTGGTTATTTCTTTTGAGGCAGGATCTCACTTTCTTGCCCAGGCTGGAGTGCACTGCTATAATCCTGCCTCATTGCAGTCTTGAACACCTATGTTCAAGTCCTTTTTCCACGTCAGCGTGCCAAGATGCTGGAACTACAGGTGAATCCTGGTTCATCGGGCTGGTTTGAAACTATAATCCTGCCTCATTGCAGTCTTGAACACCTATGTTCAAGTCCTTTTTCCACGTCAGCGTGCCAAGATGCTGGAACTACAGGTGAATCCTGGTTCATCGGGCTGGTTTGAAACTTGTTTTTATAGAGATGGGGTATTTATATATTGCCCAGCAGGTC